GCAAGTGGAGAAGATTAGAGGTTTCATTCAACCTAAATATGTGAGAGTAGATTCCTTGAAGCAGGCTTTTGATCGTGTCATAGAAGTGAGCTCATTTCTACAATTCAAAAACCTAGGCTTAGACTCTTAAAAAAAAAAAAAAGCTGAAGACCTCATGAGAAAGTGAGAAAGGTACTGGAGGAAGAGATGAAAAAAAAAACCCAAAGAGACCTGATGAAATGAAGAGAACTGGCAAAAGAGAAAAAGAAGAAAGAAAACATTAAACATTAATTGGATATAAAGTGCAAGATCAATATAAAGCTATGGGTCATCCTGACTGGATGTCAGAGAAATAAAAGAAAAAGAAAGGAATCATTCCAAAAGTCAGGAACTGGAGAAGATAAAAGAAGAACCAAAAGGCTTTTTTCAAGACCACTTCCTATGCCTCGAAATGATATTAATTCCTTCTTTGCCTATGTGTTATCTATGTGTTTATCTACTTCTCTGTCTCTCTATTATATTTGGCCCTACCTATTGTGGTAGCTAAGCGTATTTAGGTCAGCCCCTTGCTACATTGTTTCAAGTGTCCAGTACCGTTACGCCATGTCACCTGTGCCATTCCACTTGACCCTATATTAAATTCCCATTGACGCTATATGAACCCATGGTGTGCCATTTGATGATATAAATCTGGACGCTATATGAGCTTAGGGGTGTTTTAAATGATAATTCCCATCGACGCTATAGTACCCTACTTCACTACTGACGTACATTAAAATTATAAATTCAACAATATAACTTCAACGCTATGCGTATGCAAAAGCATATTAGAGTTTGTCATTAGTACTGGTTTGTGCAAGCCACTCGAATATATTCTCAAATGTGCTGATAGGCACAAAATGGCTGGAGACCAATACACTATGATACTAAGGACATGTATTGTTCCTACATTTAAAAAGATTAGATTTTAAAAAATAAAAACAAGATTCTAAATAAATATGCACAATTATCATTTCAATGGGCATAGCATGGAAAACAATAGATATTTGTTTAATACTCAACTATTATGCGAAGTTAAATATTTTCTTAACACCTTCCGTCGGTTAGCTGAGGAGGTTGATACGAACCAAATTTTTGATCTTATTACAAATTTGTCTTGTAGATTATGAGACTTTCAAAACTGGTTTTAATTTAATTCGATAAATGCAGTATTTTATTATTATTATTATTATTATTATTATTATTATTATTATTATTATTATTATTATTATTATTTCCGTTTAGGAAGGGAGACTACAGACCCACCCACCCCAAGCTGAAAAAGAAACCCTTACACACATAAATGTGGAAATGTATGTCACTTGAAATTTGACAATGGTTTTATTCTTGCGCATTTTTTTTTTTAAGTATTATGGAAACAGTAAATATGCACACGATTTTTGGTTTGATGCCCATTGGAGAAAAATCAAGCCTCTTTTGAAAGTTTGGGTGAAGAAAAAAAAACATACACCTGATTCGGCCCTGCCAGGAAGGGGAATGGAAGTGAGGTTAGGTGCAATTAGAGAAGAACAACTCTCTCGTTATAACATTGTGTGTCAATATTTGTAAATCGTGATGTCGGTTTCTCTTTAATAAATTTGTAACCGTGTCATTTTAAAACGCTGCTGTCGAAGCGGCGCTTATAAAAAAAAAAAAATCATTTTAAGTATAAAATGGCAGACTCTGCAACTCACATGATTACGTTGATATATATATATATATATATATATATATATATATATATATATATATATATATATATATATATATATATATATATATATATAGATAGATAGATAGATAGATAGATAGATAGATAGATATCCTACTTGATTAAAGGGTTCATACTAGAAGAGACATAGCGAGGGTGTGACAAGACACCAAACGTGCTGTGGGCGCCACTTGAAAGGGGGCGCAAAATCGGTGAGCAGAACAAATGGTTTTTTTTATACTTTCAAAGTTTTGATAAGAGGCGCAATTTTAGTTTTTGCCATGGGCGCCACTTTCATCGGGGCGCAATTTTTGATTTTGCCGTGGGTGCCATATGTCTTCGCTACACCTCTGCATAACAGATCAACTTGAAAACCACCGGTCGTGAGTTTGAGCCCAAAGGTGTTGGTGAGGTTGAATCGACGATATATTTGTGACTTATTAAATATAAAAATGCCACTCTAAGATTCACACGCAGAAGAATAACCGGTTCCCACAGACCCACATGAACGCCGCTGAATATTGCGTTCAATGCACGCTCTCATTGCGGTTGGCCGAATAGTCTAAAGCTATTGCTTTTACTGGTCTTTGCCATCTCACCTCATTACGCTTGGGTTCAGGTCTTGGGCTCGGCCATTTTGGGTATGTCAGAAAACTGTCAGTAGCTTCCCGTGGGTCTGGGGTTTTTTTTAACGAGTTCTTCCTCCGCCAGTTATGTTACCACCATGTATAGCGTATTTTACGCTGAGAAATAGCGTTCAACACCAAGAACATAAACTGTCTTAACTGAATGACTGCTGAAAATAACGGGAAGAAATGCATGACATGATTTTTTTTTTCCTCCACTTTTCATATCTATCAGTTGATGTCGGCGATTGAGACAGGTGCACCTTCTCTGTCATTTAACCCAAAGCCTATTACCGTACGGACGCTTATCGTACGCCATGTGCCAGAGTCTCAGGTGGCCAATCAGATAATGAAGCTACTCAATCCTACCGCCGTTAGTGTACAGCACGTATTTGTGGTGCATTAGCAAGCCATGTCTTTTTTTGTTCGCGATTTCTCAGTTATCGTCGTTAAATTTTCATTCATAAATGAATAGTCCTTCTCTGTATATGATATTATACGGCAGGTAGCAAAACAAGTCCACACAATATCTACCGATAGTCAGCATGTGTTCAAACAAGCTTTGTTGTTGTTGAGGAGGGGGTCTCCGCTCTTGAACTTCATCTTATTTTGTCTACACTATATTTTGTATTGGCAGATTTGTCAATAAAAGTGTATATGAATAATCGCAACTGGACCATACGAAATAGTTATTGTCTGTTACATTTTGGTTAGAATGATCATGCAACAAGCACAATACCGTCTTGTCTCCTAAAATTTGTCGCATTCTCTAGAGTATTTTTGTCGTTTTCTTTCTCATCTTTTTATGTATGCATGTGCGGTGTAATTTTACACCAAATTATCAGAGAGGGATATATGTATTTTAAGTTAAAACGGAATAAAATCTGAAATTTTTAGTTTGAAATTCGGAAGATAGACGAAGAACTATGTCAAGCTTGGATTGTTGCGTTGTATCTATACCAGTTAAACAGACCTTCCAAATTGAACAAAAGGAATTGATAGATTTTATGGAAAAATAACAATAGCAGGTACTAACTCCAAAATCAATGTCGTAAAATGAGCGCATATAAAAGATTACATTTCTCTTGGGTTAGATAATCGGTACAAAATCTTTGAATCGGGACTATTAAACCTTTCTATACACAGCGGACCTTACACATATGTTCATTTGACATTACATTATGAATTAGATAATATATACCACGAGCTGTTTGCAGAGTGTATAATATTTTATTAAACTAGTTTCATAAATTTTAAGTCAAATGAACACTAGTCTTGATTATCGCACAAAATTTTGAACTCCGTTTTACTCAATAGCTTTAGATTGATGCGTCACTAGGTGGAGCTTCGTCACATCATTTAGATGATTTAAGTGATACGATGTCATATAGCTAATGAACATGCGAACCTCATTGACAAATTATGATCTGCGATGTATTTATATTGTAAACCCATTAACTGTGTTCCTTTATTACACGTTATGCATTGCAATTAAAAAAAAAAACAATCATGCATTCACATGAAAATTATTATATTCATCTTTATTTCCAAACTATTTATCTCTTGTTTTGTTTTTTCCTTTTATCCATTTCTATTATCGTGTACATTGTAGAAGGTGAAGGCGGGAAAAGGACAATGCCATCACTAATTACAAATATGTTGTAATTCATAACTGTTGGGTTTCTTACCTCATAATTATTCAGTTATTTTGTGTACATGGAAATCAACTGGAACTGCCTTTCTTCGATATTTAATATTTCATTATGTAATATGCAATACGAGTATGTATTGATCGGTATATGACCAAAGGATAACACCCTTAATGTATCGTTCATTTTAGCGTCACAAATCAGACGATATTCATATTGAAATTACTTCATGTATTCTGTTGAAAGTCGATCACAACACTCAACTCCTCTTTTTGTTTATGTTTTTGTTAGCGTGTCACATTGGTACTGTTAGCGTGTCACATTAGTACAAGGAAAGATAGGAAAATGTATATAATTCCAGATATTGACGAACGACCGACCGTAAACTTAATATTTTTAATGTTTGTAGCATATGGTATTAATTTCGCCATAACGGCAAGCTGCCGTTTCCATGCTTCATAGAGCACGCGCCAGTTTAGCATTGTAAATCTCACCTGTTGCACACAAAGGCATAGTTTGCAGCAGTGACTCACTTCATATCACCTACCTTATTCCAAAACGCAGGTAGTTCCTGGTTGTTGTTGTTGTTGTTGTTGTTGTTGTTGTTGTTATGGGTTTAACACCATTTTTCAGTACACAATAGGCCATAAATAGCGGTCAGTATAACTGGTGGAGGAAAAAGCAGGGAGAACCCCTGTAGGAACAAGCGACCCTCAGGAAGCTGCTGGCAAGTTTTCTCACCTAACCACATTGGCCGTGCCTGATACTCGAACTAGCTGTGAGATGACAGTGATCGGAAACGGCGATCGCTTCAGACCATTCGGCCACCCGGGACCCAGGTAGTGCCTGGGACTACAATACAAAATATGTCAATTCACCGTAATGTTGAAACTTTATAGTTTTCTCACACCAATATTTTAGGTTCTTTATTGCAATAATTTCACCAGTGTGTGTCTATTGAACATCCCAGATGAACTCGGTCTTTACTTCTCCAACTGCTCCGATGGCATAGTGGTTAGAGCGTCCGCCTCGGATGCGGGAGGTCTCGGGTTCAATCCCCAACCGAGCCACACCAAAGATTTTTTAAAAAAAATGGTGCTAACAGCTGTCTCGCTTGGCGCTCAGCATTAAGAGGTCAGTGTTAGGTTTGGTCGGCTTGGCGTCAGGATAATGTGACCGGGTGGGTATCGTGCCACATGTCTGCGGCATGTTGCTAGACATCACTATAAATTGTCGCACTGCAGATATCGTAATATCTCCCACGGATGCGGGAGGTCTCGGGTTCAATCCCCAACCGAGCCACACCAAAGATTTAAAAAAAAAATGGTGCTAACAGCTGTCTCGCTTGGCGCTCAGCATTAAGAGGTCAGTGTTAGGTTTGGTCGGCTTGGCGTCAGGATAATGTGACCGGGTGGGTATCGTGCCACATGTCTGCGGCATGTTGCTAGACATCACTATAAATTGTCGCACTGCAGATATCGTAGAGATATGACTGAAGATTTTTTTAAAAGCTACGTTGAAAATCTAAATCACACACACTTTCCTTCTAAGTAGGGTAATTTTCTTTATGAGGATGACGGCACACCTCGTACTAAATGCAATTATATTCTAATAACAAAAAATGATGCCACTCCTGAGTAACTGATATATCACCTGTAAAGTATAAGATAAAGAAATGTATGCCTCCCGAAATAAGCTGACCTAAATTACTATAATGAAGACGAGCACGTGTAAAATATACACGTACAGTTCATGAGCACAGTCTTCGTATTTTAGAAGCAAAGTTCGGATCCCTTCCCCTTCCAATACAGTGGAGAAAAACAATGTTATATCGAGGTAAGAATTACTAAACACAAATACAAATTCACATGCACGCACAAATATAGCTGACAACCGTAATCATATGCTCGTTGTAAAAATTATTTTCCAAAGGGAAGAACCAGGAGGAGGAGGCAACCTCAACCAACCTACGAGTCGGAACGTTTCCTAGAGTGTTTAAAATCCAATAGCTTCCGGGAGATTCGACCCTGGGCCCCTACCTGATTTAAATATCAAAGACTCCTTGCTAAATTAGGTACCTCCAAGCTCCCCACCAATATTTCTGGATCCACTTTACTTCTATCGTTGATACGTAATCTGATCTGAAAAGGTGCTAGATAATACGGGTGTAATTCCATCATATAATTTGTCCTATGAAGCACTCGGTCAACGGAACCTGTCTTTACCTGATCTGCCGACTGTATGTGAATGTGCATGTTATATACACCTGACCGATCATATTTAAGTTGTAGATAAAAATAAACACCATCGATTTTTCACGGGCGCGCATGAACTACACAACAAAATTAAGTAACTGGTTTTATGGGACACAACTTGATAGCGTGCTTAATTCTCCGTACTTTACTTATAGCCTAATTTTAATGAAACAAAAGTAACGTGAAATACTCGGGGATTTGAAAACTTCATCTCATTTTTTTACCGTATCATCAAAGTTTTCTATAAATTAACAATATTTAAAGCACTGTTATACCCTTTTCGGCTCTTAATGGGAAAAACCTACTTGGGTAGTTTCTTCGCTGAATGTAAACTATGATCCACAATTATCTATCGACCCATTAGCACTATCAGTACTCGGTAGATAACACACACGGTTTCGGGTCTTATCTGAAATACTGTAGCGTCTACACCAAAATCGCCATCACAGAGTCCAGGACCCATTTTCCAATGTCTCAAAATATTCAGGGCAGGGTTATTTTATTTAGGTGCCTAAGTACGTATTACATATTGGATGGATGGCCTAAAAACTCATGGCCAGTTTGGGAGGGGGACACCACAACCCATCTCCCACCCGCTTAAACACACACACACACACACTCACACACACATATAGATTAACTGGTCACCTGAAATTTGACGAGCGTTTTCTTCTTGCGCCCGTTTATTGGGTATTATGCGCACTCGGAGTAACTAGACGCGTAGACCGTTGCATTATAAGTCAGGGCCCTAATGAAAGATTTACACGAAGAAAAAAAAAGTAGCACTTTATCTGATCCGGACATGAGACTATAGACTTATTAGTCTATGGATTAATCCGGCACTTCTGATATTTAGAACATTTTACATATTTACAGAACATTCTGCATCAGGGATTAAACTACAGCTGCCTTGAATTTTCCATCAAAGTGGATTGCCATATCACATTACGAGTACTCCTACAAGCCTGAGTAATGTTTCAACTCCTTTTCTAAAACTGAAACTTTCTGTGTTAATTTTTTAAACTAAAAGTTTATTTTGAGTCAGTTACCTTATATCTGCATCTGATAAAATATTTTTATTGTTTGATACATCATAAGTAAATGAAATTTAAAATTAAAATGTTAGAATTGTGTTGAAATCGTGGTCTGGTGAGAAGTTATCCAGATGCACAATTACCTTTCAATGGTAACCGTGACTTCAAACGTGCTGTGTATTGATTACATACTTTCGGAAGCACCCTTAGTTTGTGTGTGTATTTTATTTTGTAAGCATGCGTGCTCCAACGTGTGAATGAGCCCCAGTATCTATACTGCAAATTATTCTTAAATTTAAAAGAAATTAAATCAACCATCAGTGGACTTCAAAATCAAACGAAAACGACGAAAACTTTGAGTATATAGTGGATTAAGTTTGTTGAGATCCTGACATATATGAAATCGAGGGAGACAAGTTATCATTAGATTTAAGACAAAGGCTAAGAGAGATTGGATGAAAGGTAAATGGAAAGTACATTGTTGTTCTGGGGTTTAACGCCATTTTTCAGCACACGATAGGCTATACATGGCGGCCAGTATTAATGGTGGAGGAAGAAAAAGGGAAATCCTTGGAAGGAACCACCGACCCACTAGAAGCTACTGGCAAGCTTTCTCACATATCCACATTCGCCTAATCTTAGACTCGAACTTACGCAGACAGAGGTGAGATGGCAGTGATCCGTAACGGACAGCGCTTTAGACCACTTGGGGCCCCGGAAAGTTACTACCGAAATGTCTGCACTGCACAATTCTGTGAATTGGTGAATTACAGGTGAGTTGAAATGGGAGCAATATGCAATAGAAATTTCAACAAAACAGAAAGGAGATGCATGTTCCACAAGGCTTAAAAAATCAAATGAATAGTCCTGGGATGGGGGTGTAAAAAGCTGCAAGCTATAAAATTAGTCTTGTGAAATCCATTTAAAACCATGTTAGGCTAAAATGTGAGACTCTTAAGGTTAATACCACCACTTTCATCGATCATTCCACAATGTATTTTGGCCAAAGACTTCAATGAGCACTACTATACATATTGTAATAAGCAATAAGGTTTTTTTTTTTACCGAGCGCAAATGCAACTAAAAGTCAGTTTTTTCGCCTGATTTCCAAGTAGTTCTCTACAACTACTGTTGTAAACTGTAAATTCCAACGCGCCATACTATAAATACGTGATCAACGCAAGACCACAAATATTACAAATACACATTTACATCACAATTTTACACTTGCCTTCCAACATCACAACTGCATCGTCTCTCCTTACTACATTTCCGTAATGTAGCGCAGTATTTCACGCCGCGAAAATATAAAACATAAAACTCTAACCATCAAATACTGGGAATTACTTTCCTTACGCTCCCCTTAATGGATCAAATCATCATTTTTTTAAGCTGTATTTTCCCTGTACCTCTACACTATAGGTACCGTCATAGTAACAATAAAGGGCGTGTCCTGACGAATTAACAGTCCCTTCTCAATTATTCAACTGTATAATTTAACAGTCCCCATCACAAATACTGCACACAATCAATCCACACAATTCGACTACTTGGCCAAGGGATACTCATGGGGCTCTGGCTTAAACAAAATTAAACCATACCATCATTATAGGTTACTGCATTTGTATGGAAAAATATGAACGAGGTTTTTTTTTTGATAGCTATACTGCACGACCTTGGGAGTGCAGTATAGCCATCCGAAAAAACGAGTTCATATTTTCCCATTCAAATGCAATAACCTTTATATTATATGCTCATTTTTGTTTCATTACCAAAGACGTAATAATAAAATTCACAACAAAATATATTTAATAATAAAATTTATTATTTTATTATTAAAATAAATAAGTTGACAATCGTAAACTCTCCTTCAATACACAATAATAGTATATATGCGCATATAGCTCCGCCCATCGACCTTTTGACTTCATAGCGTACCGCGCGCTCGCTCATTTAAAAAAGAAATCCCATTTTGGTCTATCTGAAATTGAAATTTAAAGTCATATTATGAATGACTGCGCCATTGAACAAAGTTCCCAGCTGGTCAGGAATTGAGAGATTTTGTTTCTCTGTCGATACAGCCAAATTCTGATTATCTTCGTCTGTGTGTTTTCCGCACGATGTACGTGTGACTTTAGGGACTGGCGATGGCAACAATCTGCATAACTGTTTCTGTTCTACCATGGATAGTTTGGAATCGTAAACTGGGAAAATATGAATGTTTTTAAACATAAATTCTTAAGAAGATGCTTGTTTCAATATTGTTTATTTTTTGTGAACAACAGATTCTTTTGTTGCTGAGTTCCGTACAGTCTACTATGGAATGTGATTTCGATTTCAACAATGTAGTCTGGATTCTATAGGCCTATCTATTATAGTACACAGATGTGTACCAGTATTTGGAAATACGTAATTCTTATTAGCAGAAAGAGTCAACAAAGTACATTTTGAGGAGATTAAAGAGGTAAAAAGGCAAGTAGATTTATTCTCATTATTACAGTTATATATGACATATTTTTATGCCCAGTCGCTTTTGACAGGTTTTTCACAGTAGTCTTCCTTACAGAATGATTGGTAATTCTCCCCTGGATTTGTGCCCTTTCGGCTCCTCGTTTCATCAGAGTTCCAAGCTGATTAACCCCCATTGCTCTCGGATAATACCTGCAATTTTTAACATTTGCATCGCGAATATGTTATATTTAATTCAATAATCCAATGCACCTGACATAAAAACCAGTTTTCTTATATTTGGCAATGTTGATTAATGTATTTCATTTTGAA